AACGTAAACGTAACGTAAACGTAACGTAAACGTAAACGTAAACGTAAACGTAAACGTAACGAACTAACGAACGTAAGAACGAAGAGAAGAGAGAGAGAGAGAGAGAGAGAGAGAGAGAGAGAGAGTCTTTTGTAATAAATGCAGATAATTACAAGCTATACTTCTGTGCATTTAAACAATGGTCATATTGCAAGGCGTAAACTCCACATGCTTTTTTTATTCAGAATTTAGCACATGTGCGAAATAGCAGGGAGGAACAATTGAAGAGAAGTAATATAATGAAAATTAGTGAGGAAAGCTCTTAGCAAAAGCATGAAAAGTTTACCAAAGGAAGTAAAAGTTTACTGAAATAGGATACAGGACAAGGAGTTTTCCCATAAGGTTTTGCATATCAAAACAGTGTGCATCTCTCTCACATCTTCCAGGCAATGTTCAAAATACACGTCTAATGTTTGCATCGTGGAGGGGACAACATATAAGAAACAGCCAAACATTATAAAGAACATTATAATTTGGAATTTCGGAGAACTTATATCATCATTCTTCTAACATGCAACAAGCTCAGCAATAACAATTTCAGCCTCCACCGAAGTCACTGAAATATTAAACCCAAGTAACGCAGCAATATATATTTGTATGATTTATTTCATTTAAGGAAATTCCTACCTGGAAATCAGCAAAGGCAACAGGCATGCCTCCTTTTGTTTGCATTTTAAGCATTTCAAATCCACGATATCTAACAAAATGAGAATAACACATTGGTTAAGAGCATAACTGTGTAATTCTTAGCAAAAGACAGAATATGAATGCGTTTGCAGTCCATGAGAAAAACAAATAACAAATTGGAATGCAGATAAAGAGAGAAAGGGAACATAAATAATAGATGATTTACTTTGACAGAACAGTATTTAGTTCTTCATGGTTGCAGGTTGGACCAAGATTTGCAATAAACAGGGTAGAACATAGTGGGGTTTCCCCTGCCACAGGCTTTCCCAGTTGCTCCTGTACCAACCCAAATGAAAAACACGTTCCTCAAAGTTTGATAAAGGTGTACTGTACGTTACATAAAAATTCATATATACTTGGCAAACTACAAGTAGTGTTATATATCAGTCAATATATCTACACACATAAAAGAATCTTCTGGTAAAGCTACCACACGAAATACCAGAAACAAGCAACATTTTTGGAAATTACGTTGAGAATTTCACAAGGACTCACAAGGCCAGGATGACCACATTAACAATGTAAAACAATGAGATACTCAGAAAACAAAATCCAAACATGCAGAAGAACATGGAATTGGACGAATATAATCCCCTATTATACTTTCCATATACAAGTCAATTTATAGCATAGGCTTTGTAGACATTGATGCATGTAGTACATAGAATACTGCACATCACCTCAAAAATTTACTAGAAGAGGTTATTTCAATGCTGAAAAAGCTTCAAATTCGATCATCTCGACCTCAAGATGTATGGACATGATAAAAAGTAGATTTCAAGTCTTGGAAATAGAGAATCTTGTAATGTATTATCTAGGTCGTCAATTTTTAAGATTCTCAAGTGTTAATAGATCTGCTCGATCTACTCTACTTTTGAATATTTAAATTTTATAATTAGAGATGAAAATAAATTTTCAGGCCATTATAAAGATTGATGATACTGAAACGAAATATTTTGGCACTATTCGGAGGTGCGCCTTAATTTGCTTGTTTAGCGCCTCAGCCTCATACAAACCACACCCTTCAGATATTTATTAGGAGGAAAACTGAAACAGAAATAGGCTTCAGATATTTATCTGAAAATTCCCACATCACTCCATTGACGATACTCACATTATGAGCACCAGAGGTACTATCTTGAGCATTAATTTGATCAGCAGTCTCACCACTGAGAATTGACAAAAGCAGAAAATTTATGTCAGTAAATTGAATCGTTGGCAGATTCAAAAGCATGGGAATATAAGGAAATCCACATTTTATCATCATGTCCAGTATAACAATCATTAATTTCAAATTTGCCAAACAATTATTGTGCATTCTGAAGTGCAATTCAACCTCTGTGCTGAAGATAAACCACTCTTCTTGCTGGTACTAGGATTACTGTCGGATGGTTCATCGGATCCACCAACTCCTGTGAGTGTGCAATGTGCCAAACATGTGCAAGTGAGCTTTAGAAGCAAGTTCTAGTGATAGTGGCTCACTATGTGAAAGCTACTGCTGAATTCCGATGAATGGTTTAAGGAGAAAAATATTGCATTAAGTTGGAAACACTTTAAAGTTCAATTACAAAATGTAAAGATTGATTTTTCCAGAAAGGTCACCAAAAGAATGTGGTTTCCAGTCGGTGACGGGAGTCGGGTCAATTCCTTATGGCAGAAAATGCTCTTTGGAGTTCATGAGTACATACCATCACTACTCCAACCTTCTTGGTCACCCTTTGATACTTTCTCTCGATTATCAATAATAGTATAGGCTTCACTTCCTGTACAAACATAATCTTTGATTACTCAAAAGCGCAAAAGTTTCAAACCCAATATGAAGGTCATCAAGCAAATTTCTCAAATGATTTGACAAATACCAGTAAGAACAGGCAATAAGAGGACTAGCAATGTAACATGCTACCTCCCTGGCATTCAAAAACAAAAATGTGGTACCTCTTTGGCGTTTGTTTCTTGAATTTGATCTAGCCAACTCAATGTGTAAAGTTGCTCCTGTCTGAGGGTCAAACACCGTACCCTGGTAAAGAATCAAAATTCAGGATTTGCATTATGCAAAATAAACGGCTGGCCAGCACACAGAAGCTCGACCATGGGTAATTATAATAAAACATTTGCCCTATGTTCATTCAATAGTAGAATAGAATGAACATATGTACAGGATATGACAAGTAGGAGAGGCCCAGGCCACTGCCAATTCATCTGATATGCACCCAAATTTCAAAAAGAAGTGGCATAATACGGAAGTGTAATTCTTGTATTCTTGAATCACAAAAGACGAACCAATTCCGAGATGGATATTATTGATCCTAAAAGGCTTTCCCAAAGCCAGGTTGTAGAGCTCATGCCTAAAAGATTGTGAGAAATGGATACATGTAGGCATGCACGCTTGCGTAGGTGCGCACAGAGCATATTGTGTCACCACATCACCACTTTTTGATTGGTTGAGGAGCACATAAAGGTTCAGAATAGTCTTTGCCAAAGATTTGGTTTGCAGGTCCAAAAATGCTCTAAAACATGTTGCCCCATCTAGTCACCACTTTTTAATTGGAGAAGGGACCGGAAAATGCTCCCTAGAAGTCTCCTTCACTCAAAAAGAATATCCTCAGAGAAATCTGATTTGGAGCCTTAAAAATGCTCCAACTCTTGAACCTGTTATTAGATACGGGCCAGTCTGAATGGAAATGGGATTGAAGGATCTAGAATCTTTTTGTGTTTTTTATTTTATTTTATTTTTTTCCGTTACTCTTTTTGGAGCTATTTTGGGCCCCTAACCTCAAGTTGCAACCAAACATTTCAGGAATAAAAAAATAAAAACAAAAATAAACAAATATACAACATGAAAGAGAGTACCACCTTTAACAGTCCGAAAACAAAATAATTTTCCCATTTTCATTTTGTGGATGGCTTTCTAAAAAGTAACTACCATTTGGCTTAGTCTCTAGGTCCCTAGAGACAACAGCCCCCAATACCCCACCTAAATGACAGACAACATTCACATGTGAAACTCATGCTCAGCTCCAGACTAGAGTTTGATTGCCGATAAGCCACTCTCTCAGGAAAGGTATATCAGACCTCTAAGGTTAACTTGATCGTAATGAATTAGGACCTTGTCAGTTCCTTTGACTGATTCATTTGAGACTGCTAACTTCACAGAACTTTCATGTGTCTCAACTGCCTGCTTCATGCAAGGGCTATTTGTTTTACTTCCCCCAGCACGATAAACCCAACTTATGGGGGTTTCGCATTGAAACCTAGGAAGACAATCGAGCATCATTTAAGAGAAAAGCCATCTCTCCTAACACCTTTCCATGCACTGCCCCAGTTCTTAGTCCATAACCTCCTCAAATCTTCATTACTCATCACATGGATCAAAGTCTAACCTATTTGATCAAATACAAATTTTGACCTGATATAGAAAATGAAGGATACAAAGGTGCACACAGTCCTACACCAAATTAGAATAACCAAAGCATCCGTTATCATTGGCAGGTCAACAATGTTAACTGCCATTACCCATAAAGAATCAGATCCTATATGTAGTGTTACCAGGACCAGGATCAAATCAGATCCTTGATCAGGATCGGGACTAAGGGACCACGACAAGCAGAAGATCCATACGGTAGGGATCGCGGTCTGTACATCTTGAAATCTAAGGATCTCATTCCCAACATGTGGTGCAGCTTGATCCAAACTTAATCGACATCAAATGATAAATTATACACGACCAAGCTCCGTCTAGTTAAGAATAAAAAGTCTCCTAAGCGCACTCGACTCATCATAATCATCATCGTCAAAGCCGTTCCCCAAATAATTGAGGTTGGCTACACAAATATTGGTCCGCCATTCTGCTCTATTAGGGGTCATAACCTCAGTGAGGCTATAAGTCCTCATATTTTTTCTCATTACTTCCAACCATATCCTTTTGAGCCTACCCCTTGCTTATTTTGAGCATTCCACTTGATCTAACTCATACCTCTTAACAGTTGTTTTACTCGCTCTGCGCCACACATGGTCAACCCACCTAAGTCTACTCTTTCTCATCTTATTGCCTATTGGTCCCACACCTAAATTTT